TATAAACACTTAAAAGCAACATTTGTCAATGGAATTGTCACCGAACTTCAGAAGTTAAAGTAAGAGATTATATCACCCCAACAAGCATGACAAATGATTTTCTTAGCTATAGTTTTCTTCATATTGTTTGCCTGATCGAGTAACATTTGAACTGATGGTTCCACTGAAATATTTTTCGTTATCCTGAAAGCAAGTACAGTATGACTGCAAGATTGTTATGCCCTAACAATTATTTCTATTAATGAGTTTGTGGATATTATTGCGAAGATTGGACTTGATAGTTTCAAATAAATTGGGCATAGGATGGAAAGTTAGCAATAAATATAATCTTTGTTATATCCAAATGAGCAGAACAATTGTATTCCTGACGTTTCGTGACTTAATGTAAGCCACTTCTTCAGAGTAAATGCTCTGAAATATATTTTTTCTAAAAATTGGGATATAGCAAAAACTATATTTACTACTAATTATTTCTATCCTAATAGAGATCATGTAGAAACGATTCAGTGTGAAGTTAATTTGCATCACAAAATTACATCACCTGAAGAGCAGAGTCGAAAAATAAAAGAATCACCGGAAAAGCCAATCAAATGAATGCCATGTAGAATAACATAGATCCATACACGAAAATTAGAAATTTTCGGTTTACAAAGAATGTATAGATTACTGAAAGCATTACCGCCGAAAATCTCACCAGAAACAGCAACCTTATCATAAAATGCATATTATTCAGAACAGACAGGACTCCATTTTTATGTTAAATACCAAACGATAAAAGGTGATATGTTTCTGTAATGCATGACTATAACTAACTGGTACTCAAAATATTCTGTTACTAAAAAGTCAAGTGAAGAAAAGTACATGTATGAATGTATGTACGTAAATTGTGTGAACATCTGTTTTAAACTCTATAGAAGAGTAAATAAGCTTATAATCACTACACAACAGCAAACTTACATTATATTTGGTAGAAAGTTACTAAAACATTAACAAATCATAAGAATGAGAAACATGGGGATCTGTGGAGCTGAAGAATCTGGGAGAAGAAAACTTTAAATATAATCCTACAAAAATAACTAACGAAATGAAAAGTTACCTAAACTGTTCGGGGAGACAAAACTATTCAGAATAACATGAATTTATGTACTATATCCTTACATGCAATCGTTCTTTTATATGTTACCCCCATTGAGTTAACTACTGTGAATTCAGTGTTCATCTTGTTGTGCTAATGAGGTATGGCAACTTGGACAGATGCATATACGTGCCTGGTCGGACGTTGTAGCTGACTGAGTGAAAATGTCAATTTCTCACACTTAGACAATTAGTAAGCTATGTTCATTTATTTTAACACAAATATTGGTACAAGGGCGCACCAAATATATATGCGCTACACAGCTATGCTCAATATTAGTGTGAATGGACCAATGGGAAATCTGTCAACAATATTTACTGGGTTTTTATTTTGCAGTGTGAAGATAAGCAGTGTCAGACCTGCAAATTTGGTATTCATCTATGTAAAGATAGGTCTTTCGAAATGCTATATAGTTCGTGATTCAGACTAAGCAGTTGCGACTTCTTTGTCTTTATGTCTTGTATCAGTTTGAAGTATAAATATTTGGAAATGAACAAGATTTTCGAAATTATTCACATATGACGGAAAGCGGGCAATTTTCATGTACAATACTTTAACCATTTTCAAATTTATTATAAATTATTTATCATTTCATGTTTATTTTAATCTGGTGAAAAAAACAAGCAGTTCAGATGGAGTACAATCCAGCAACGTAACATTAGTTCAAGTAAAGCATGCAATCGAATGCATAGCTCCATCCACTGCTGTCACATTGAATGTAAGACCAAAAAGTGGGAAACCTATCACAACACAACAGCAACAGTATACACTATCGATTGATATCGAATCAAGTCTAGAATGGTTGTTTAAAATTAATCCAAATGATTCACCATTACAATCTATACCTTTGAATCAGTTAATAACACGTCTTGAAGGATGCAATCTGTTTTTTAGAAACTAGTATAGACACTTATAATTTTTTGTTTTGTTCATTTTTCACTCAACAAACTACATTTTTAGAGAAAAAAAGAGTTATCTCAGTAATTTCAAGTAAATAGATGTTGAAATCTTATAATTGTTTTTGTTTGTTCCCTAGCAACCGTAAGATTTTGGTTCAAATAATTTTTTAATGAGAATATTTCTGTTTAAGTGGTTAATATGAAGGCTATCTGAAAACATTACAATCACCAAGCTGATATCCTCATAACTTTATCAAATAAGTTTAGAAACAAGAGCTACTTCTGGTGAACAAAATTCATTGTCACTGGAAACTACAATTTTGTATAAATTGTCATACAACTATGATTATCAGGATGTACTGCAGTTAGTCGCACTAAATTATTATCTATTACTTACCGTAAAGTCGGAAACTACCAAGAGTCAATACAAGATGTCTTATTATTTTAAAACGTCCATAAGTACGTCTACTTGTTGTCGCTGATTGGCATATTTAACATCTTTTGAAATCCAAAGTACCTATGTTACTGCTAATCCACTAGATCATACATATGTGATTATGATTTTCCAAACTTCATTGATTGAAGTTAGAGTCCTAATACGCAGCTGTACTATGTGGGTAACTATCCTTTTTCTTCATATATGACTTAACTTACTTCCAATGATCAATTGAAATTTACAGGTTGATTAATATTTTGATGATCAGTGGTTACTGAAGTCAACAAGGTCCTGGTTGCAAAAATTGTGAGCAGTATCATAGATCAATGTTGATTCCTTAAAGTTCGACAATGTTAACTACTGAAATTTCAACTCAATGATAAAGTTCTTGTCCTGATATCAAAATTTTCTGATGTCCGTTCGCAAACACAATAAAATTAAGTAAACAACATATTAAAATTTAAAACTAAAAGGAAATAACTACAAATTTTGTTTGAAATAAAATAACGAAATAGTAAAATGTAAACACTCGGTGGAAGTCTTTTTTCAGTTGTGTTTCATAAATATCATTAAGCATTTTCATCTACTGCTAATCTAACAACATAGTCATTCATACTTTTTTCTGCAGTGCATTGATAGACTGTATACGAGAAATTGCTGTTTTTTGTACTACATAAAAATACTAATAACCAGTGAATATTCGTCAATCAATGACTACATAACATTGTCAAATACTATTTGGGTACACGGAAATTTATCATCTATGAATGATTCACACCTTATAAAACGTGAAATATTTCGAAACTTGTACCGGAATTCCGAATTGTTTATGAATACAATTTATATCATATACTAAGTAACAGTATAGATAAACAATCGTTAAATTCAATTTAACGATACATACGAACGGGGACAACCGTTAAAAATGTTAGAGAGCTAGTGGATACTTCGGACTACTAGATTTCAATTCTCTCGTTGTTTTCAGTACATCAGCAACGTAAACAGTGACTTAGAAAAAAACGGATTTCGAAAACCAGGAAAATTTTGAAAATACTAAGTAACAGTCAAAATGTGCAAGTCAGCAGTAAAAAGCGACAGTCGATAAAACTCTCTTAAAGCAAAATGACTAGTAGTGAACCCCCAGCACACCCCAAAAAGCTCATGAGACCGGTTTAGCTGATAAGAAATATTACAAAAATATTATTTTCATTAGGTTAGGAAAAAATATTTGTTGGCGTTCCATATGAAACCTATTCTCCTGTTGTAATTCAGGTGGACAACTGTAATACAGACAATCATCAAAAAAAAGAACGACCGTTATTTCTATGAGGATTTAATACTACTTGAAATAGTCCAGAGATTTTGAAAAAATTCAACTGCATTCAATATAAAGACTGTCTCAACCTACATTATAACCCGATAGATTAAACACACCACAATCTCAACTACCAAGTATTAGTACGGAAAGCATTGAGCGAAGTTGGATTTTAACTTCTAGAAGCCACAAAGTATTGTTAATGGACAGAATAGCCACTCGACCGACTTTCACCAATCCTTAGAACCAAGTCGTGTAACCTGGCTTCCAAGGGTTGAGGAATGAATCCGTTGTAATAATGTCGTAAAGCAAAAGTAGAAGTTTTGTTTACTTAGCAAGCCGTACCTACTGAGATCGTTGATTTAAGTCGTCAGAACAACTGTGCCGCCAAACATTAGATAACACAATCTAAATTCATAGTAGTGACATAACTTCATTAATAATCTTTGATCTAAAGCGATACCATAATCACTGACCAATTAGTTACTACTCTACGTGACAAGCATTTAAAAATGAAACATTCTGCCGTCATTGTCCAACCAAACCCAAGGTTAACAGAACAAGGTGTAAATCATTTGTGCATAGATTCGAATGCCCTATTTCTATCTGAAGTTTGTGCCGATAACTTTATCTGGAAAGTTATTGGAAGCTCCATTGTTGAAAATCCTACCGTTATAGAACCTTAAATTAAACAACTGAACAGGAGTAACTTAACTCAGTACAGATTCATACACAACTTTAAGCTACACTATTTCTGCATGGAGGCCAACGGAACTACATATTGTTCATCCGAGGGACTATGCCTAGGTCTGAGTTACAGATACAAACCTCGCTGCAGGAGTATTATGTATAAGCTACCTGAAAATATTCTAAGCCATGCTACAATACGACTGAAGTTAGAATGAAAAATTGCTTTAAGAAACTGGACAGTTTGGTTATTGTAAGTTTAGCGAAACGCGATTTAACAAGTTACGTTTAATTTTGCGATTGAACACGACAAGATTTAGATAAGGTGTAATACAACATTTTTGGGATTAACAAAAAGTTGCAAAAGGTAATGATGACAATAATGAGGAGAAAGAAACCGGATAATAGAGTAAAGTCACATAATGGTTAAAAATGTAGATTATCAACAATGAATAATAAATATTACTCTCTTTTTAAATAAAATAGATGCATCATGTCGGTAGAAATCGGAACGAAGTAATCATTTTCTCAAACTTCATCTAAAAGAAGTTTGGAAAAGGCGAACACTCCATTTGGGGTTTCTAAAGCAGCTTGTGGAACTGATTGAGCAGGGAATAATCGCATCATAGGGATATATGTTTTTGTACGATAAACAGAATCTGGATGAACAGCTTTCGCAAAACCGACACGGTTTCTGCCCATATCGAATACTGTATAAAATTTACCTATGAATATATCTCCTAATATCCACAATTTCCTCTTCGGCAAGTCCAATCCAATAAAACCGCTTAGACAAATCTCAGAACCCATTTTGGATACCTGTATCGAAATCAAAATCATGCACAGAAACAATCAAACATGTTTTACTGAAAAGAAATGCATATAGACGTAGCGACACAATAAAAGATAATTACACACAAGGAGTAGTAGTTATTAACTTCAGTTGTAGCTCTTCTAGGGTTACTGCCGGTCTCGAACCCGGATAAAAAAAGGAGGGTTAGATATGGTGTCAGCAACCACATCCCGTAGAAAACAACCCTGCTAAAAAAACGCTAACCAGAAAAAACAATCTATACAATGTAATGGGAGTTAAAGGATCTACGTTTAGAAGAATTATACGACTCATGATGAAAGCCGAGATTCGTCGGAAGTCATCGGCTAATGTCCCTTCTCAAAACTAGAGCGGCATTTATTATAGGTATATGGAATGTCCAGACAATGTTGGAGACTAAAAGAACCAGTCAAATAGCTGCGGAAATCAAAAGATACAACTTGGCGGTTTTCGAAATCAGTGAAACCCATTGGACCCAGGCTGGACAGGAAAGATTAGCTTCAGAAGAGATTAGGTTGTACTCTGTTCATGAAGGAGAAAGTGTTTCGCACACACAAGGAGTCACACCAATGCTGTCCAGACAACCACGAAAAACACTTCTACGATGGGAATCTCATTTATCCAGAATCATCAAACCATCCTTCAAAACAAAGAAGAAGGGATCATAATGAATGTTGTCCAATGTTATGCACCCACCAATGATAGCAACAACGACAATAAAGATCAGTTTTACGAGAGGCTGCAATCGATCATAGCGAAGTGCTCAGGAAAAGACCTGATCATCCTGATAGACCTAAACACCAAAGTCGGAGTGGATAACACTAGGTATTAAGATATCATCAGATGACATGGACTGGAAGAAAAAATGAGAATGGTGAGAGATTTGCAAACTTATATGCCTTCAAAACCATGGTTATAGGTGACAATACATTCCCCCCACAAACACATACACAAAGCTACGTGAGTCTCACCGAATCACACTACAGAGAACCGGGTCGATCATATCTGTATCACTAAACAATTCAGAAGAAGAATGGAAGACGTAAGAACACAGAGAAGTACCGACACAGCTTCGGATCACCACCTGGTGGTGGTGATTGGTGGTTGCCAAGATCAAAATGAAGCTAAAGAAGCACTGGACAAATGGAGAAACAGCATTACAAAGGTTACATACTGCCTTTCTTAGAGATACTGACAAACTCTGTGGATTAAAGATAGCTCTCAATAAAAGGTTCCAAACCTGACAAGATCTACTCCAAGGAAAGGGAACTACTACGTAGGATAACTGAAAGGAACCAAAGAAACACTAACTTCAACATGTGAAAACGTTCTGGGTCTATAGGAGGACTATCATAAAGAATGCATTTCTATAGATAATCTGAACAGGACTCGAGGCAGACTGATTGCACAGAAGCGGATAAGGGAGTAAAGAGGGGTAGTAGAGCCGACAAACAGAAGTACGCGGAAGATCTTGCATTTACGGTGGGAAAAGCTATAAAAGGAGGAAATATGAGACAACTATATGACACAACGAAGGGACTGGCAAGGAAATATTGTAAACCACAGCGACCAGTCAAGAACAAAGTAGGCAAGCCCGTCACTGAGATTCAAGAACATCGGAGCAGGTGGGTGGAGCACTTTCTTATGACTCTGTGATAGACCAGCCCCACTGAACCCACCAGGTTTCGAAGCAACACGTACAGACTTTACTATAGTGGTCACCACACCAACAATCGAAGAAATTAGCATGGTCATCAGACACATCAAGACTACAATAAAGAAGGAACAGACAACATACCACTTGAAGCTGACTCTAAACATGTTCCACGTCATATTCAGAAAGATTCGAAAGGAAGCACAAGTGCCAACAGGATGGGAAGAAAGATATTTCGTCAAGATACCAAAGAAAGATCTGAGCAAGTGTGAGAACTATAGAGGTGGTCGTTCTTGACTTAAAAGCAGCATTTGACTCTGTAGACCGCGAGATACTGTGGCAGTGTCTGTCATTGAAAGGCGTACCCCAGAAATACATAAACCTTGTGAAGGCTCTTTACTCGAACACTACTAGTCGAGTCAGAGCTTATGGCGAACTGTCAACTGCTTTTGCAACCTCAGGTAGTGTCCATCAAGGCTGTTCACTTTCTCCATTTTTAACTTCATCATAGACCTACTGATGGAAATAACACTCTCGTCGACTGAATTTTCGGGCATCGACCTACCAGGAGGTCCACTTATTGACTTAGAATACGCAGATGATATAGTCCTGTTTAGTGAAGACGCTTATAAAATGCAGTCTTTTGGTAGCCCTGAGCAACAATGCCAGAATGTTTGGAATGCGCTTCTCCCCCCCTCTGAATGCAAGCTGCTGCTTCAGGACTGGCCTACGTCAACACCTGAACTAAGGATAGGGAGTGAAGTAGTCGAACGCGTTGACAACTTCACTTATCTTGGAAGTCTGATCAGCCCTAATGGGTTGGTGTCTGACAAAATCTCAGCACGGATTCAAAAAGCTCGCTTGGTTTTTGCCAACTTGCGTCGCCTATGGCGAAGGCGAGATATCCGTCTATCAATAAAAGGACGAGTATACTGCGCGGCAGTCCGTTCTGTTTTAATTTACGGCAGCGAAACATGGCCTTTAAGAGTAGAAGACACCCGTAAGCTACTAGTATTTGACCACAGATGTCTTAGAAATATTGCTGGCGTCTGTTGGGATCACCGGGTAAGTAATAGTGAGGTTAGGCGCAGGGTATTAGGGAATGATGGTAAATCAGTTGATGAGGTTGTGAATCTTCATCGAATGAGATGGTTGGGCCACGTGTTACGTATGCCCGAATACCGATTACCACAACGTGCAATGCTAACCGGTGTTCGGGATGGTTGGAAGGAAGTTAGGGGCGGCCAAACCAAAACGTGGCATCAGTGCTTGAAGTCACTAGCTTCTAGTCTGAGCCATGTTGGTAGATGCAGACTACTTGGTTGGGGTCCGCGTGACTATCGTAACCAATGGTTGGAGACTCTTAGTGACATGGCTCATAATCGATCACAATGGCGTCGGTGTATACACTCTCTGTCTTCCTTTCAACTATGAGCATAAAATAGCTTCATATCATTCATTCTTTCTGTACCCTACCCTTATATGCAATCTTTCTTTTAAATTTTAACACCACTGAATTAACTACTTCTATGAATCCGGTGTTTATCTTGTTGTGCTAATAAGGTGTGACAACTTGGACTGATGTACATATGGGCCTGATCCTACGTTGTAGCTGACTGCCTGATAGAGGCATCACACTAACATCAGTGCCAGGAAAAGATTTCAACAGTGTTATTGAACCGGATGAAAGATTTAATAGACACCCAATTTTGAAATCAATAGGCCGGATTCCGTAAGGATCGATCGTGTACAGACCAAATGGCAACACCACAAATCATTTTGAACAATCGACTGAATGGAAACCGTCACTATACATCAACTTTCTTGACTATGAGAAACCGGTTGACAGTGAGTACAGGAGGAGGACCTTATGCAACCTTATTCGACACTACAGTGTACCTGAGAAAATCGTCAACACCATACGGATTCATACGACGGACTACACTGTAAAGTCGTGCATGGAGTACAGCTGACGCATTCCAACTGAGGATCGGAGTCATACAAGGCTGTTCACTATCTCCCTTTCTCTTTCTTCTGATGGTCGACCAGATTATGAAGACTTCCACATTTGAGAAGTATGGAGTACAATGGACATATTAGATGCAACTAGAAGATTTGGACTTTGCAGATGACCCAGCTCTTCCATACCATACACAGCAGCAAATGCGAGTGAGGACAACCAGTGTAGCAACAGCTTATGCAACAGTAGGCCTCAACATCTACAAGAGAAAATGAAAGATCCTCAAACACAACCAATATAATCACATTTGATAGAGAAGCTCTGAAAGAGGTGAAAACTTTCGCGTACCTGGACACCATCATCGATAAACAAGCAGGAACCGATGTAGACGTAAAGGCAAGAATCAGCAAAGCAAGGACAGCATTCCTACAATTGAGGAACACATGGAACTCGAAACAACTGTCAGCCAACATTAAAGTCGGAATCTTCAATACGAACGTCAAGGCAGTTCTACTGTAAGGAGCTGAAGCTAGGAGAACTGCTACAACCATTATCAAAAAAGTACAAGTGTTCGTAAACAATTGTCTACTCAAGATTCTCAATATCTGTTGGCCGGATACCATCGGCAACGACCTACTGTTGGAGAGAACAAACCAACTTCCAGTTGAAGAGGAAACTAGGAAAAGACACTGAAAGTGGATAGAACACACATTACGGAAATCGCCGAACTGAATCACGAGGCAAACCCTAACTCCGAATCCTGAAGAGAAAAGGAAAAGAGGAAGATCAAGGAACACATTGAGTCCAGAACTGGAGGGCTGAAATAAAAGGAATGAATAGCGATTGGAAACAACTGCAAAGGATCGTCGAGAACAGAGTTCGAGGGAGAATCCCGGTGGGTGGCCTATCCTCTATGAGGATTAACAGGCATAAGTAAGAGTAGTTGTTTAACATGGAAGAACATTTGAGTAGGACCAGGAATCAAGACACCAATTAATAAGTAGTCATCCAATACACGTTTTACCAGACAAGTTATGAGATTCACCCGCTCGGTATATTTTAATTTCCTCCTAACTACAGGGCATTATTATAAATGATAGCAACTTCTATATCCAATCGTATCAACCAGTAAGTCATACACAACGTAGAACCTCGTACATATTTGCACAGAATGAAGTTGCCACGCAACATTAGCACGGTGAGATAAATTATTAAGACCAATACCAAAGTACTAAAAGTAGTGACAATATCAGTTGTAGTAAGGATTAGCTATAAACAGTAAAAATAAGCAGAAGGATATTACGGGATTCAGAATCTAAGTGGTGACAAAGAATGAATGCTCCGAGCCATGTCACTGACTATTGATTACGATAATCATACGGACATCAATCAGGTAATCTGCACCAACCTACACAACTCAGTCTAAATGTCAATTACTTCATAGGCTGATGCTACATTTTGGTTTGATCCACCCACCTTCCTTCCAGTGGCTGGGCATACGTAATGCACATTCCAAGTACCTCGTTTGTTGAAGATTCACTGCAATACCAACCGATTTACCATCTTTACCTACTACTCTATATGTCCAACCTCATTCAGTGATCCCAAACTGCGCCGGTGAACTTATGATTAAATACTAGTAACCTACAAATATCCTCTTTTTCAATGGTCGTGTTTAAAGTCCATAAAGTGGAATAGAGGAAATTGCTGTGCATTTAACTCATTCTTTATTTGGCTGTCATTTCACCTACTTTACGAGTTGACAAAAGCCAATCAAGCTTTCTGAATCCATAAAATGTTGGCATATGTTAATCAAAAACAGATACACATATAAGTAAAACAAATCCATGATAGTCATTTGATACCTCCATCCAATTATGTTTGGTTTTAAATGAGGAGAAAAGATTGAACAGTTAGTTAATGAAAATATTAAAAACATTCTTATCCGCACGAAATTTTTTTCTCTGAGCTCTGACAGACATATATACTTTCATCCTAACTAGACATCAGTGTTAGAAATTGACCTGAAATACACATTTGCCACAATAAACGAGGAAATCCAAGTAGAGGGGACAAGTATGTAGAATAAAATAATTTTCACTGATATTTAGTTTGAAAAAAAGTGTATTGATATAGGTGAAATAAACAGACACACCTTATACGTATAAGGAAAAACAGAATGAAAATTACTTTCACTAGATAATCTGTAGGTTCTAATGTCATAGGTTTTCCGTTGATTACAAAATCAATCGTTGGGAGATTGTTTATATTACCACAAGAAACGGTATAAATACCACCAGGTAGACGAGTGGCTCCGAGCCTTGCATTAATTTTTTGTATTTCGTCAGTTGGACCGGCGATCATCGAAGTGCCAGTATCGGCAATAGCCAGACATCCATCAGGACAAACCGTTATATCTGAAGTAGTCAATCTGTTTGAAGGAGAATTTTAGAAACACAGATACATATATTTAGATAAAAATCCAATAAAAACTACAGAATAGAACTAGGCAATGTACATCATAAACTTACAAAAACATGGACTCTAAAAGCACATACTGAGAATGCGGATTTCTGACAGTCGGTTCACCGACGCACTTTTCGCGTGGTTTGGGACTACTGAGTGGGGTCGCACATACAGTGTAGTAGGTAAAGATGGTAAATCGGTTGGCATTGCAGTGAATCTTCAACAAACGAGATAGTTGAGATGTGAATCACGTATGCCTAACCACCACCTACCACTATGGGCGATATCTGGTGTAGGAGTAGGCTGTGACGACCAAGCCAAAATGTGGCATCAGCCTATGAAGTAATTGACATTTAGACTGAGTTGTGTAAGTAGGTGCAGATTACCTGGTTGCGGTCCGTATGATTATCGTAACCAATAATTAGAAAAAAATTAGTGGCATAAGGAGAAATGGATGAAGCCTAGCAGTGGAATCCAGGACGGGCGTTTCGTCCTCTTTAGAATTCGTCAGCTAGATATACCTGCATACCAGTGTTGATGTTCACGCCAGGACTCGGACACCACCGTTAGCTTCAAACGCTATGGCGTTATACACCACATGGGACGGAACGCGCGTCTTGGATTCCACTGCTAGTCGCCATCCATCTCTGGTAATAATGCTTATGATTTAAGACAGTATCGGGGCATTCCACACAGGATACACATATGTCAATAAGAGACTGATCAATTGCAGTCCTACACATCAATGGGAAGATTCAAACAAACAATAGAAAATGAATTATGAGTGACGTAGTTTGGCAAGGGAAGCAATGAAGCAGATGCATCCACTTTTCATCTTATTCTACATCTTGAATTCCAACACTGCTTCGCATATTCCCTTCCACCATCTTTATGAAACAAACGTAATACATACAATCTTTTTCATGATGATTGTTACATTATTTCGATTACTTACCGTTTATCTCATCGTCTAAATAAGGTATAGCAACTTGGGCCAAAGTATATCCGAGCCAGACTCCTGGATCCTGAGGGAACAAATGGAGTATGAACCAACTGTTGGTCACTGGCTACCATGGGACTGCATCTCCTGACGTTGCTCCATCGCCTTATCGATGAGACCTTTAGGTTGAAGGCTCCGGGTGACCCCCTAAGAAAACAACCTGCTTCGCTTTGGGCACCCGGGCAGTATCACAGCCCACACACAAATGAAATGACGATAATTACTGGAAATACTATTTTCATTTCAATTAAAATCCAGACAATTCACACTCATTTTTATTATTTTTATACTACGTTACTTATCTACTCTTTTATTTACACTTGGTGTATCCTTATTTTTCAACTTATACAGCAGCTCACCTAAGGTGGAAACTCTGTTCTATCTAAACGATCTCGAGTTACTGACTAGTCGAAAGTTGAATGCAACCACCGCGAATACCATTCAAACTGGCGTCTTTCAACGTTCGCACACTAATGCAGATCGGACAACAGATAGGGTTGGCTATGTCTATTGAAAGTCTTAATATCGATGTCTGCTGTCTATCCGTGACCCGTATTCAAGACCCTAGTGAAGTACTACAAATCCGCTCTCCATCTGTCGCTTTGAAAAGCTTGTGTTACGTGCGCTTATCCGATGACCCTGTGGCATCTTTGTTTGGCTTTTCTGGCGTTGGTGTGACACTAAGCTCTAGAGCTGAGACAGCACTGATCAATTGGATTTCCATAAGCAGTCGGTCATATGCTGTTAGATTGAAAAGTCCCATCGAAGTGCGAAGAAATCGGTGTGAAAAACGATGTCTTTCATCATTTCCGCCTACGCACCGAAAGATTGTAGCCCGGATCCGATCAAGGATGAGTTTTACCGCCAATTAAGTGTTCCTCTACAGAAAGTGTTCGACATATATCGTAGTACTAGTCGGAGACTTGCATGCAAAGGTCGGGCATCTAAGGACAGAAGTGATTCGTTCGGGTGGTCGGTGGGAACTCGTTGGTCGCAGGTCAGATAACGGGGACCGTCTACTGCAACTTTGAGCAGACTACAACCTGTTTTTAGCTGACACTAACTTCCAGCACCGTTATCGCCGATGTACCGCCTGGCGTCCTCCCTCTGCATCTCAAGGCTGGACTCAGCTACCGCTGGCGTGGATGTGTAGAAAACGGCCGCTCCTGTCGGAGTACCTATCTGGAATCTGACCATGTCCCTGTTTGCAATAATCTTACCTTACTTCTCAGTGGCCAACAAATTCATCGTCATAAACGAGTCGATGTCAGTAAATTGGTTACGGATTCTGTTGCAACTAAACACAAAACCGAGCTAGGTTTAAGGCTAGCTATCAATCCACTGGAAAGCATGGATAAGAAACGGCTGCAATTGCATGACGCCATGAAAATAGTGAGTAAAGTAGCTTGAGGCTTATGAGCACTAGGCTTCTACAAGCACTTTCTTTTGAAGGACAGTTTAGCTAGTTTGCTCTCCCAGTGACATCGATCAGATAGTTTTGTCCTCCAAGGCCGGTGACGACTGATCCACCTAAAGACAAGGTAGTCCACAAGGAACTCCAACTCTTGAAGAGCCACAATTCACCAGGCCCAGATGACTTACTTCCAGCCCCTTTTAAAGATGGTGGAGACCTAGTTAAGGAACTATTTGAGTTGTTTGCAAACTTCTGACAGTTAGAGAGTGTTCCAACATCGTAGAATGAGTCGATAGTTGTCCCTATATTTATAAAGGGTTCACATCACCTATGCAACAACTATCGGGGGATAAGTCTATTTCTGATTGCGTCCAAAGTTTTAGCTTCCGTTATACGCATTATTCAAAACGTGAGAAAGACTGACTCACGAGAACAGACTGGTTTTTGCTTTGGTTGTGGATGCATTAACCATATTCTCATTCTCCGCAGAATGTTAAAACACCGCCATACTACAGGTCAAAGATCATAGTGTTTCCGAACAACACGGCCGCCCTCGACTCGTTGGACAGGACTTTTCTGGGACCATCTAATGAAGAAAGGTATTCCTGACAAGCTTATTAACATATCGAAAGCCCTGTATACAAGTACCTCAGGAAGACTGAAAGCAAATAACCATCTCTCCATTGTTTCATTTCAAACGGTGAAGTTAGGCAGGGTCCCCCAATCTCACCATTTCTCTTCAACTTTGCCATCGATGATGTTTTAGAAACAGTCCTACTGGATGTAGGTAGTAATGGTGTGGATCTGTCGCCTGGAGACTTTCGACCTATAGTGTGGGGCTGATGTTGGCTTACTGGGTGGTGATACCCAAGCGATGCAATCCGCACTTAGTCAGTTGGTAATCATTGTCCGTAGATATGGCATGTGCTTTGCACCTTTATGTGCAAAATACCTTTACAAGACTGACAGGGGGCTGCCTGCATTTTTTCTTCGTAGTGAGCTGTTAGAGGTAGTCGAAAAATTAGTGCGTCTGAGTAGCTGTGTAAATGCTGATGGTGATGAGATCAATGCACACAGAGTGGGAGCTTGAGAGGCTGATAACAAACTGGACCACCTTTGGCGCCCTCGTAATGTTGGTCTGGTTGTATAAGGTCGGATCTACAACGCATCGGTAAGAGCAGTTTTACTCTGTGCTTGTAAAACCTGACCTCTCCGAGATGAGGATGATAGGCGACTCTGTGTTTGATCATCGTTGTCTTCGAAGGATTGCTGCCATCCAGTGGCAACACCATGTTAGTAATGCAGAGGTTCGGCATCGTGTGTTCGGGCACAACGACAATAATTTAGTTGGTATCACCATCGTGAGACACCGACGTCGGTGGCCTGGACATGTTCTCCCGATCGAAGCTGCTACCTTGACGCGGTGGTCGGGCTTGCCTATCGTGATGACCCAACCGAGCTATATTGGCTGGAACATATGTTCCTGTAGGTTCTACCATGCCAGGCAGGTCGATTGGTGAACGGTAAGACTAAAAGCAGCAACTCAAGGTCTGAGGGCGAAGTCGTACTGCTGACTGTAGAGGGGTGTGACAGCAGTAAGGTGTTTCCTTCGGACAACCAGCATGACAGCGATGCTGCCTTCCCACAAGGAGGGGTGGGGTTAGAAAAGGTCGACCCTAAAAATGTCACACCTCACCTTACCTCACGGATTTCCGTCTCCGGCGGTAAGGCCCTTTGAAGAACGGAGCTAACACGTCAAAAACCTTCCACAAAAAGGCCGTGCGCGACCGGCCTCAAGCAGTTGTCCCTTGGGCTCTGCGGTCACGCTCCCAGGTCGTCAAGACCAACACTAATCCAATTTCCTTTTCAGGTTCCTCAAGAAATACCCTTCCACGGTGTGGGCAGCCGGGAAGTGACATCAGCCCTCATACCCGTAACAGCACAAGAGACCAAGGTGGTCACATTCAAATCCTTCCTACACCTCCTAATACCTCTCTTATCTCCATGACTAACCCTCCTCACGTCTCTTTATCACCTCGCACCGCTAGGGCAAACGATTCGAGTACGTGGAACGCCATTCCTGGTCTCCTGAAACCACGCTCTAAACTACACGTAGGAGCTTTTAACGTACGAACACTTTGCCAAATAGGACAGCAGGCTTCCTTAGCTAAAACTTTAGAATCTCGCGCCATCGATGTGTGCTGCGTCTCCGAAACGCGCATACAGGATCCAAGTAGCGTCATTCATTTGACCTCACCATGCCAAAATAAAGAACCGACTCGATTTACGCTTCGTGTATCTGGAAGCCCTGATTCTGCTTCCCGTGGCCTCGCCGGCGTAGGTATAGCATTGAGTCCTAGGGCAGAACTAGCTCTCTTAGAGTGGATCCCAGTAGACAGTCGTTTGTGCGCTGTCCGACTGAACGGAACAGTAAGAATCCGGAAAGATAGGGACACTCGTCGTTGCCTCTTCGTCGTCTCTGCCTATTCTCCCACTGACTGCAGCTCAGATGATGTAAAAGATGAGTTTTACAGAAAGCTTTCGGACCTTCTCCGAAAAGCTAGGCGCTCGGATGTAGTAATAGTGGCCGGTGACTTTAATGCTCAAGTAGGTAAACTAAGCGATAGGGAAAGACACCTAGGTGGATCTTATGGTGTCGTGGCTCAAAGAACAGATAATGGCGACCGTCTGTTGCAGCTATGCTCAGATAACCGCCTGTTCCTTGCAAATACTAACTTTAAGCATAAGGAAAAACATCTTTTAACATGGCGACCCCCTAATTCGTCCCAACGTTGGACCCAAATAGATCACATCGCTATCAGCCACCGATGGAGGGGCTCGATAGAAGACTGTCGCTCATTCTGGAGCACATGCCTAGATTCAGATCATGCTCTAGTGCGAGCGCGTATTTGCTTGCGTCTTACTGGACGTAGGAAAGACGCTGCAAGGAAACCTCTTAGGGCCTACTTAATGATAGTCAAGCTAAGAGTATATTTCAGGAACAACTAGGAAAACAGTTAGGCAGCCATGTATGTGATGCCCACCCCGATGCAGCATGGAATGATATCCGAAAAGCTGTGGAAACAGCAGTGATATCTGCTAGTAAGGTAAACCAGAAGGTTAGGGAGCAACACTGGATCTCAGCAGCATCTATCGCACTGATAGATGCTCGGAAACTCATTCCACCTGGCTCTGAACATAATGAAGAGCGGAGTCAGCTTAAGCGCAAGCTGACAAGAAGTCTACGCAATGATCGCGAACAGTGGTGGGTAGCGAAAGCAAGAGAGATGGAAAAGGCAGCGGCAATAGGTAATAGCAGACAATTGTTCAGACTCGTTAAGGAAACCGGAATTAGGAACCCGACCGTTAGCGAAACAATCTCAGAGAAAGATGGACATATTATTCATTCTCAATCCAGGAGATTGGATCGATGGGCAGAACACTTTAGGGATCAGTTCAACTGGCCTTCAGCCACACTTCGGTTTCCCACGATCTCCAGTCAACCTGAATGGCAAGTTAATGTAGGTCCTCCGTCCCTTTACGAAGTTGAAAAAGCCATAGGAAATCTGAAACGAGGGAGAGCAGCAGGCCCTGACAGGTTTACTCCTGAGATTTTTAAGGATGGTGGTCCAGTATTAGCAATGAGATTAACTGAGGTCTTAGGTAGAATTTGGGAACTGGACGTAATCCCATCTGACTGGTCTCAATCACTGATTGTGCCAGTCTATAAGAAAGGACAAAAGTCCTCTTGTGACAATCACAGAGGAATCAGTTTGACTAATATAGTGTCTAAAATATTAGCTTCAATAATACTTCGACGCCTAATCAAAGCTCGTGAAGAGCAGATTAGAGAAAACCAGGCTGGTTTTCGACCTGGACGTGGTTGTATAGATCAGATATTCACACTACGTCAGGTTCTAGAACACAGACACACATTCAGACGCCCCACAATGGTAGTATTTCTCGACCTTAAGGCGGCATTCGACTCTGTTGATCGTGAGGTTCTATGGCAGTGTTTGTCACTGAAAGGAGTACCAAAGAAGTACATTAACCTTATAAAGGCTCTCTACTCGAACACAACTGGTAGAGTGAGAGCTTATGGCGAACTGTCATCAGAATTGATTACCTCAAGTGGTGTTCGTCAGGGCTGTCCACTCTCCCCATTCTTGTTCAACTTTGTGGTCGACGTACTTTTAGAGATAACACTCTCCTCATCTAAATTTCCAGGGGTTGAACTTCTACCGGGAGGTTCACTTGTTGACTTAGAATATGCTGATGACATAGTTTTATTTGGTGAAGACGCTGACAAAATGCAGAGTCTTCTGACCACTCTAAGCAACAATGCAAGCATGTTCGGGATGCGATTCTCTCCCTCGAAATGCAAAATGTTGCTTCAGGATTGGGTTACATCGACACCCGAACTAGTGATAGGGAGTGAAGTAGTTGAGTGTGTCGACCGCTTCACTTATCTTGGAAGTCTCATCAGCCCTTGTGGTTTAGTGTGTGACGAAATCTCAGCACGGATACAGAAGGCTCGACTAGCTTTTGCCAACTTGCGTCATTTATGGCGTAGGCGAGATATCCGTCTATCAACCAAAGGACGTGTTTACTGCGCAGCAGTTCGTTCCGTCCTACTTTATGGCAGTGAAACATGGCCGGTAAGAGTAGAGGATATTCGTAGGTTACTAGTATTTGATCATAGGTGTCTTCGAAATATTGCTCGTATATCATGGGACCATCGAGTAAGTAACACAGTTGTTAGGAAACGGGTACTAGGTAAGGATGGCAAATCAATTGATGAAGTAGTGAAACTTCATCAGTTGAGATGGCTGGGACACGTGTTACGTATGCCCAACGACCGACTGCCTCGACGTGCTATGTTCAGTGGTATAGGAGTAGGTTGGAAGAAAGCTAGGGGCGGCCAAACCAAAACATGGCACAAGTCCATGAAGTCACTGACAAGTGAACTGAGTCATGTTGGTAGGTGTAGACTACCTGGTTGGGGACCGCGAGATGATAGCAACCGATGGTTAGAGACCCTGAATGACATGGCTCAAAATCGTTTGCAATGGCGCAGGTGCATCCACTCTCTGTGTTCTCCCAAATTCTAATCTTCTGAATCCTTCATGTCCCTTTTTTCCTCTTTCCAAATTTATTTCACTGGATTATACTCTTTAAATAACATCTCCAAACCCTAATCTTCCCGATTACTGCTTATACTCTTACTACCTCTACCACTACGGGATTTGAATCGACAACTGCATCTCTGTGCTAATGTGGTGTGGCAACTCGAACTGATGTACGTACGTACGAAGTTCTACGTTGTTACTGACTGACTGGACATGTCCTACGAATGTAGTCCCAGCGAATCCCACATCGTGCACTATTTTCTGACGCTGGGTTGGTTGGAAAAAGCGAAGAGATAGTTAGTTCATGACATGCCGTCTTTTTATGAAAGGAAGCTGTACAGGACTGGCTTCTGTTGGTCCTTCACGACTCCCTGATTGGGGTCCTAGAGATGGTGCATTTATTTATTTCTTATTTTAACACGTAAATATTGGTACAAGGGGGCACCAGATACATATGCGCCACACTGGCTTGAGGCGTTATCAGGTATGGCTCAGAATAGAAGCCAGTGGCAATCCTGCTGTAACTTTTTCAGAAAGAGTAACTTCTTTAACTGCAAGAATTCTTTCTGGTTGTATTTTTATTAAGTGAACTACTTCTATTATTATTATCACCGTTATTATTAATTCACTCTCAGACACTAATTTTTACCGATTTTTGTTTCTTTTTAATTATACTCACTTTCCTTTCTCTGTCTCTTTACAACTTCATCTTTGATGTGTGACATATATATTTCGGTACCTCCTTGAACCTATGTTTATATGCTCACATAAATCAAAGCAATTACTTGAAACCGGTCCACTGAGCTTTACAAAACGTTCTATGGAATAAACTATTCGAGAAGGTACTGATGTTATAGAGGTATCAGTTTTATCAGGGATTTATTTGATTTGGATAGTGCTCATTGCATTGTAAAAATAAAAAAACACTCCAGTAAGCATTTTGGGAAGAAGTTATATCATCAATATTTTCCTAACGTCGCTTTTTATCAGGTGATATTAGCTTGGCTGATCATAAATCTGAGTTTTAAACACAAGGTCAGTAAAAACATCTACATTGTAATAAAGCTAGTGGGAAGTCTTTTGCCTTCTAAATTAACACCAATGTTTCACTACGTATGTTTGGGAAATATTATTTGGATAGTAAACCACTTGTCTTAAAGTCACATAACTAATCAATAAGAAACCAGTTAAATGGCTTTAAATGATAAGATTTACTGAACATTTCCATAGTTTTAGCTTACTTGTCCATTTTGAACAACCAATAGGACTGTTCCATTAAGTCCACATAGTTGATTTCACCAGTATAATACTTGTCATCGATACCACCGATCATCAGTTCACCACCCAGCACAGCTGATATATTCCTAAATTATAAAGATTGAACATCACGCTTCGGGACAATAATAAACCTTCACATGTAACGTTATTGACTGATACACCAATAACTATCATATTTACAACATAGGGTTCAATAAAGAATGTAGCAGTATGGAAACGACTAATTTTATTTAGTTTGTTTTTTAATTGACTAGTTGACTGATTAATGAAACTAATAATGCAATAAGAAAACGGTATTGGCCATAATAGGATTTTTACCAAGTTATGGTGGAAAAATACTCAATGAATAAATAGCATTAGTTTATTTTGGATTCAGAAACCCTATTAAATTCTGCAACAGCTGCTCAGAGAATTGGATATTTAAACCGTTGAACAGTTTAAAATATTTAGGGGTCCACTAACGAGTCCAACCATTCCGTGAAAAATAATTTCTGAAATGCCCAGGATGGATTTTACAGCACTGGATAAACACTACCTGAACAGCCAATTTTCTTGAGTGTTACCTCCGAAACTAACGAGCACGTACATTTCATGAATGATGGTAAAGCAACATTTCAACGAGAATAGTTGGTTTACTTCTAACTTAGTATATAGTCTCCGTACACTAAAAGCAGCAATTCGAATGAGATAACCATAGGGCATTAAGCCAACCTAATGCCTGTTGTCTACCGGTACTGAGGATTGTCATCTATTATGTTGTTTCACTGGTCTAAAATAGTAATGTGGACTGTCCAAACTTGAACGGGTGCATATGAAAGAACCTATTGTTTACATGTCTTGTTATTTAAAATCCGTCTAAGAAAATGTAGTATACACACTAATCGACAGGACGCAATCATGCGAAATTTAGCACAATTATGCTCATATTAGAGGTATTCAGAAAGCTTTAATTTCTAAATTCCTATGAGAATTTGAGTTCACGAGCAGCGCATAGTAGACATAATAAAAATAAACAATTACATACGCATCTAGGCTCCTATAACAGTTTAAGGATGAGTAATGCCTGTACGCTTATAGAAAAGTGAATACGGAAACTTTTGGTTAGACAAGCAAATTTCTGGATTATATTGATACTACACAAAATAGAATAATTAGACCTAATGCTTGAATTTATGAAACTGGATGGTTAGTCGGTCACGTGTAAATATACATACCTATTTGGACTGGAATACTAATCAGAAGTGCTCCCTAACAACGACCACATTTTCCCTGTGCATTAGTACAACCAATCACTTAACTGCACCCGCTTTTATTAGCTAAAATGGACCCAAAACGATATTTGTACAACAAACTAAACGCTTCAAACGGTGGATACCACAAAAAACTAGAAAAACTGACTTTTTTTCTGTCCTTTAAAGATGTCCATCCCAACTTTTGGCAGTTTTTTTTAATATTTAAACCCAGAACTTCTAACTGCTGCAAGTTAGTGCTGGTATAACGAAAACATGGATTTGACTGTGAAGGCGAAGGTCAGAAATCAAAAGACTCATATCAGGTAATACATATTATTGTTCTCAAATATATCATCTCTGAAGACATTGAGAATAATTATGAAAACTATTAGTCAAGTGTTGGTGTGTAATTTAAATATTAAAACGACAACTAACCTGCTGAGATAGAAGGAGAACACTGGGGATTCAACTATACCTTGTTGGATCATGTTTACGAATACAGGAGTAACACCATCCACAGAAATTGAGGGTAGGCCATACCAAGGATACCATCGAACTTTGCCATGACGAAAACCAACCCTGGTTGTTTTGTCGCTTCTCCAAACGTTTGTCGCTTTACGCTGAGTGAACCCAACTGTTTAAGTAATATGATGAGCTAAAGCTTAAACAACCAACCTGAAGGGAATCCATACTTAAGAACCCACTGAGACTGCCAGTACCGTAACGAATATTGAACTCAGTACCATTCGGGACATAAGTGGAAGACTTTGAACTGTCGTACTTCCTGTGCAGTAGGCAGGCAATGTCAAAGTAGCTACAGTATTTTGACGGTACCCAAAGATTAGACGAACCAGTATCAAATACAACGCTGAATGTCTGAGGTGGAGTACCGATAGTTATATCACCGTAGTATTGAGCCTAGAGCAAGAAATGTTGTACTTAAAAAATCATACATCAAGGTAGTTTTTCAAGTATTCCGGTTGGGGATCAACTCCAGATACCCTGGATAACCAGAGCTTCTTAACATTTTCTAAAGAAGTTTCGAACTCAATAAGAGTGCGTTGAGCAGATTTAAACGGATGAAGGGGAATCCTAAGTCTTAGCTACTTTCATACACTGTCAATTACCTAACCACTTCAGATGCAACAACGTGCAGGAGAAGAACTAGAAGCAGCATCATAGCCTTCAGTTATAACTCGCACACTAAGATCCGCAATATAAGTGGATAAATTAAAACAAACATTCAAAGAATCTGAGGCACTGATACGTAGTTAATGTACACTCTCTCATTCCTCACTACTACTCCATGATATTAACAAGAACTTGCTGTTTTGATAACTTCAATGTGTTAGTTTTAAATATTCCATCTTCGACACAAACACCCTGCCAAAACCTCACCGAGCTGTACATGACTCACGCCTCGTAAACTGTCATATGGCATTATCTCATTTCCACCCATTAAGCGTTCTATTATCTCCACTTAATTGTTCAAGCAATCAACAAATTCGTTGACTTATTGGATTATTCTTACTGTCACTTCACAGATCCTTTGCTTCCAAATTCTATATCTTTTAGGTTGTAGTTAACTAAAATTCCCACTGGAAATATAACAGCTGCTAATTCTAGAAACACTGCTGCTCTGGAATGTGACATCACTGAAGTCCGACAAAACGTGTTACTGGGGAACCTTGACGTATTTAGCTAACAGTATAGTATTCTGTAAAGATCTTAGGACTTTCATAGTATAAAATCCTAGCTAGACCAAAACCAAGAAATAAGAAATACTACCAAGATACTTTACCCTGATATTGGACTCACTGACAGTGATAAGCCGCAGCCTCAACATATATGCTTGATAATGTGTATACATACAGCCCCCGTCGTTCCACGTGGAGGAGCATACGCCGCCCACCGGGATTCTCCCTCGAACTCTGTTCTCGACGATCCTTTGCAGTTGTTTCCAATCGCTATTCATTCCTTTTATTTCAGCCCTCCAGTTCTGGACTCAATGTGTTCCTTGATCTTCCTCTTTTCCTTTTCTCTTCAGGATTCGGAGTTAGGGTTTGCCTCGTGATTCAGTTCGGCGATTTCCGTAATGTGTGTTCTATCCACTTTCAGTGTCTTTTCCTAGTTTCCTCTTCAACTGGAAGTTGGTTTGTTCTCTCCAACAGTAGGTCGTTGCCGATGGTATCCGGCCAACAGATATTGAGAATCTTGAGTAGACAATTGTTTACGAACACTTGTACTTTTTTGATAATGGTTGTAGCAGTTTCTCCTAGCTTCAGCTCCTTACAGTAGAACTGCCTTGACGTTCGTATTGAAGATTCCGACTTTAATGTTGGCTGACAGTTGTTTCGAGTTCCATGTGTTCCTCAATTGTAGGAATGCTGTCCTTGCTTTGCTGATTCTTGCCTTTACGTCTACATCGGTTCCTGCTTGTTTATCGATGATGGTGTCCAGGTACGCGAAAGTTTTCACCTCTTTCAGAGCTTCTCTATCAAATGTGATTATATTGGTTGTGTTTGAGGATCTTTCATTTTCTCTTGTAGATGTTGAGGCCTACTGTTGCATAAGCTGTTGCTACACTGGTTGTCCTCACTCGCATTTGCTGCTGTGTATGGTATGGAAGAGCTGGGTCATCTTCGAAGTGCAGATTATTACGGCAGATCACGTGAGACTGATTTTGTTCACATTTGACTTGGTTAAGCTCTTTTGTTATCTTATTTAGCAGACAGAGTCATTCGTACAATAACAAATTAACTATATCACTGTACCTTTATTATTGTTGCGCTCATATGAATATGTGTGCTTGTGCATTGTTTGCATGCTACGCACATATTAATTCTATTAGCTTTAATGTTAGTCGCTTAATTGATTCTATGATTCACTCATTTACCTATGTAAATATATGTACATTTTGATCCTATCCATTTTGACTCGCGAACTTGCACGCTCACTTGCTTGCTTTACGGTATTAGCCTTTCATTCTTATTTCACGTGTCTGTGGTTTCGGTGAATTGTGTGTCATGCAAAAATAAACGCGATCAACACTTCGTACCCATTTTCTAATAATTACATCATTATGACATTATCTACAAACGTTTATCAGGACGAACTGTTTACGGAGTTTAAGGAGTTTATCGAAGGGGAGGTTTAGTCCTAACGTGATTTGCATTTCTCAAACATTTGCTATGTTCTTACGCAACAAAAGTACCATTTCTGACCTAAAGAATTTTTCTTGAGCTATAAGTTTGGTAGAATACTTTTTTACTTTTACCCAACTTAATAGTTAACTGTGATTTTGCCTCAGCTTACTATTCGATTTTTTTCATTTTTTTACGTAAAGGCTAGATTCAGTTAACTGTAACTCGTTTTTATCCATTTTTATTCTACTGTTTTTTTACCGTCTTAGGCTTTTGCTAGCACCTATAAAACATTTTACGTCAGTATAGTCATGAAAAATTCACGCAAACAAACTGGGTGCCGTTTTGCTGTTACATCTGGCAAGCAGTGCGGCAAACGCGAAGGTTGGTTCCATGGGGCGTGCACAGATCTCATAGCAAACGCTCACAACAGACTCAGTAAGTCGGATCATAGGTGGGTATATATCATGTGCAATGCGGATGATTCAGTCTTGCTGGGTAACGTCATTGTCCTATTGATAGGTCTGCGGAATAATAATAATTTATTCTCAAATAGCAGTTTGTTACATGAGGCATGCCAGTTTACAGGCAAGATCAAATTGTTACAAATGACAATATCCACAGTAGTAAATTACTCAGCTTGGTTGATAATTTATAAGATATGAATGTAGATGGTTTTAATCAGTATCACAGTTGGTGCGCTTCATGAAAGTCGCGTTGCAAATGTGCAACTGATGGTCAAGGATAGGTACATTGAAGGTGGGAGCTTCTAGAAAACCAACTTTATGTCCCTTTGGAATATCTAATGATTTAAAGATGATGCAGGTTGAAGTCGCTTATTCCATATCTCAAGGGGGCTGAAAGAGGGAGCAAACAAAAAAGGACGAGAGGCAGAGTTGCCAATATTCATGAAGGAATGTTCAAGGTATGATTACCCAGTCTACTTTTCTTTTATGAAGGTATTTGTTAAGAAAGAGCATTTTAATAGGTTAAAGAAAATAGGTGTAAACAAGGTATGATTGGACAAACAACTGACAAATGGAGGCGATTCAGAAGTGAGCTCAGAGTATGGGATTATGTGTGGTTATAAAATTTAGTGATAGAAACGGTATTGTGATATACAATCGGCTATCTTCCTTTTTTATCGAAGCTATTAGAGCCCTTTTCATTTTTTGCTGTATTATCATTATTTTTCTTTTTTAGGTACCATAGGGTCTTGAGTAGGCTTCGTATATTAGCGAATTGTCTAGTTTGCTTGTAATAGGATTACTGGGTAGGAAGTGAAACCAATTCAACGTTTGTAACACGATTTAATGAGGTACTTTGCGTGATAAATCAGCATTAATACCTTAAGTCCGTGACATAAGTTGTCAGCAAACTTGAAAAAGGATAGTCATAAAACGAGTAGACAAACAAGGATGCTCAATGAAAGCAAGACGAGGGATTTCGACAGCGCCGCTATCGATGGAGCATGTAATAACACCAGTGATGACATGCTGAAACTCGACATCATCATAACGTCCACAGAAATAGATTCCTGCGACAGACTTGGGTCTCTCAGCACAAGGTTCCTAAATGCAACAGTGGCTCCCCAAAACTCTGTATATGATTAGACCCCATCACCAAAGTTAAAATGACCAGGCGTCACCGCCTATGAAGATGAATGTCCCAAGAATTGCAGCGAAATCAACTGGTGATTTGGCCGCAAAGTCTACCCCCAATAATATCCGTCCGGTCATCGAAGAGCCTAGGAATTGGAAATATGCTTCGACCTCCAAACAACATGGTCCTCAACCTGAACGCACCGGAAAACCCGGAAAGACAATAACGGTTCGTGACGATTCTCTCATAATAATGAACCTTAAAGACAGCCCTGATTTCCCCCTCAGTTTGCATAACAAACATGACAGGATACTCTGCGGAGAGTTAAACAAGAAGTTTGAACTTTCCAGAATACAGCCTTTGACGGACACACGGCTCACTCGTGGAAAAGACTCCAGGCATCAAAATCACCCGAGGCTACTTTGAGTAATACTCACTAATGCTACCGACGTAGAGGATATCCTACTAGCTAGTTACTTACTGAAATCTGACTGGAACGTAAGAATACTACCTGATATACCGTATTCTGAGCGCAATCTCTTCCGAAACATGCCTAAGGAATTTCACAAGAAGAAATATCATTGTGCGAATTGTACCGGAAAACACAAACCCTGGTCATCAAGCAGTCCTTGAGGGTCAAAAACATATTGACTTAACAAATGACGAGACTAGCCAAGAAGGACGGATATTCTAGACCCCGGCTAATAAAGATAACTTTCCCATCCTCTCATATGGCGGCTGCAACTCTGGAAACATTTCTTGCCGACAGATGTCGGTCGCCAACTGGAATCCATATGCACGTGATTAGGTCACACTACGCCAGGATCAAGCACAAAGAAAGTTTGGGCTGACCACTCCACTTGTGGACTGTCTTGGTCATAAAATAACGCTTAAAGAACAGGGACTATCAACTCGGAAAACCTTGAATATGTAGGCTACCTATCCATTCAAATAAGGCTCATGCAGACAAACAGCACGAGGAAGCTCACGCGTTTCAAATTAAAAGTATA